TGGATGAAAAAAAAAGCAGGTGTGAAAAATATATAGTGCAGTGCTCAATAAGAGTGGAGACTGCGAGGACTGCATATATCTCAGGAGCAAGATTATGCATTGTAGTTCCAGAAACTCAGCACTAGCAGGCACAGCCTTGTCTTAAACCTAGCAATGAAAGCCCGATTCATGTTTTCACACATTAGAACTTTAAACTACAGCATTTCTGTTTTGCTTGTGTCTATACAGATATCATTTTAGAGAACTTCGGATGTTCCCTAGAGACTCTTTTTCTTGCCCCAGGATGATTTAAAAAAAAAGAGAGAGAGAAAATGCTACAGGATATCCCATACCCAAGGGCTGTGTCTAGACTGGCCAGTTTTTCTGGAAAATCAGCCACTTTTCCGGAAAAACTTGCCAGCTGTCTACACTGGCCGCTTGAATTTCCGCAAAAGCACTGACTTCCTACTGTAAGAAATCAGTGCTTTTTGTGGAAATACTATGCTGCTCCCGTTCGGGCAAAAGTCCCTTTTGCACAAAACTTTTGTGCAAAAGGGCCAGTGTAGACAGCTGAGATTTGTTTTGCGCAAAAAAGCCCCGATCGCGAAAATGGCGATCGGGGCTTTTTTGCGCAAAAGCGCGTCTAGATTGGCCACGGACGCTTTTCCGCAAAAAGTGCTTTTGCGGAAAAGCGTCCGTGCCAATCTAGACGCTCTTTTCCGGAAATGCTTTTAACGGAAAACTTTTCCGTTAAAAGCATTTCCAGAAAATTGTGCCAGTCTAGACGTAGCCTAGCAGAAAAGGGTCAGCTTCCCTTTTCCCAAAATGGGAATGAACTGTAATGAATGCTTGCAAAACTTTTCAATTAGAGTTAAGAAAGTTAGACTATAGAATGTTAATTTTATAGGCTTAGGAACAAGGTGAATTTTAGCTAATTTACTCTTGGGTCCATCAGAAGTTCAAAATTATTAGCCAAAGTTCTCTATGTATGCTAGCTTTCTATCATTATTTGTATCGTGGCAGCATCTTACACATTGGACTATTCATTACTGTACAAACAACACAACAAAATGGTTCTTATCCCATAGGATTTACATTCCCCTTTAAATCTAAATTCATGTACATGCAAGGTGTAAATCAGGAATAACCCTACTGAAGTAAAAAACGAGGAGTCTGACAAAATGTGTTTTACCCATGAAAGCTTATGCCCAAATAAATCCATTAGTCTCTAAGGTGCCACAAGACTCCTTGTTGTTTTTGCAGATACAGACTACAGCAGGGTTTCCCAGACTATGGGTTGGGGCTTTCTTGCGCAAAACTGCATCTAGATTGGCACGGACGCTTTTCCGCAAAAAGTGCTTTTGCGGAAAAACGTCCATGCCAACCTAGATGCTCTTTTCCGCAAATGCTTTTAACGGAAAACTTTTGCGGAAAATCATGCCAGTCTAGACGTAGCCAATCTGTTTAGTCTATAGGGTGCCACAGGACTCCTTGTCACTTTTATCAGCATGAGGATTAACTAGTTAATCCTTGAATAAATTTATATAAGATGTTTTAATTTATGTGGATTGACGTCACACCTTTAGTTGATTCTCAAATTTCCTGACTGTAGAACTGAACTAGGAGTTTGAAAAAACAAATGGTCTGGTTGCACTTTATAGACCCGTGGTCACCAACAGGTCGATCGCGATCGACTGGTCAATTGCGAGGTCTCGACCAGTCGATTGCGAGGCATCCTGTCTGCCCCACCCTCATTTCCCTCCCACCCCCGAGAAGCCCCACTACCTACCTCCAGTGAAAATGGAGGTAGTATAGGCTTCTTGGGGATGGACAGAAGTCCAACAGCTTAGCGCCACTTCCGGCAATTCCGGAAGTAGCGCTAGCTGCTCTGCCGGGTATACTGCGGGAGTCAGCGCTGGGGAAGGCACGTGAGCGGGGTTTCCCTGGCTGGGGGGCGGTCAACCCCGGGGCAGGCACGCGCAGGGTTTTCCTGCGCCGGGGGGTCGGCCCCGGGGCAAGCAGGGGGAAGGCACGTGAGCGGGGTTTCCCTGGCTGGGGGGCGGTCAACCCCGGGGCAGGCACGCGCAGGGTTTTCCTGCGCCGGGGGGTCGGCCCCGGGGCAAGCAAGTGCGCGCAGGGCTTCCCTGCGTCTGGGGGGGTCGGCCCTGGGGCAGGCGCGCACGGGGCTTCCCTGCGCCGGTCGGTCCCCAGGGCAGGCACGCGTGCGCGGGGGGGCTTCCCTGCGCGGGGTCAGCCCCGGAGCAGGCATGCGTGCGCGGGGCTTCCCTGCGCCGCGGGTGGGTCAGCCCCGGGGCACGCA